TAAAAAATAAAATGTACATTTTATGAAAATTAGTTAGCAATAGTTAAGTTACTTCATTGGATCAGACTGTAAAAACACGGCAACCTGGTCTAGTCAGAGACGAGACAAATTGTGGGCAGGTTGCAGACATTGCTTTGTGAATGGTTTAAAAGTTTTCCTTAAAAACAAACTATTTTCCCATTAAGTGGTATGGGTAACCACTGGGATGTCGATTTCAATGGCAGAGAGGCGAGATCTGGCTGAATAGGGCTGAGAATAGCTATGCATGCTGGGAGTGTGGGAGTACAGGGGCTGCCAGAAAGGAGAAGGCAGAGCTTTGCATGCACAGTACCAAAGAAACAGCAAGAGGGAGGTCATAAACAGGCCCCCTGAGCTAGCAATGGTGACATACACTGCATAGTCAAACGAAAAGACGGGTTCGAACTTCTTGTTCAGGTGATTGTTGTAGAAGATGACCCAGATGGTTGGGGTGAGGCTCACCACACCTGCAAAGAAAAACAGGAGCCCTGCCACCAAGTGGCAGCCTGCACTATTGACCAGACACTTGGCCAGTTTGATGTTGGGCACGGTTGACCCGAAGGCTGTGTTACACATCCCAATCAGACAAAGTAAGAGTGCGGACATGGCGATGATGATGCTGAGGGGGAGGGCAAACTGAAGAACCCGCAGATCCAGTTGGTCAACGGAGGAATACCACTTTGTATCATACATCAGACAGTCACTGCTCCGATCGTAGCGGGCGCATTTCACCCAAAGCCCTGTGTAGACCGTCAGGTTCTTCTCATTCTTGTTGAAGGTGACTAATCTCAATTTCCTCCAGTTAGGAAGCATAGTCCCAGCAAAGAGTCCTGCCACAGAGGCAATACCACACAGGAAGGACAGCACTGTCGCTGCGTGGACATCCCGACAACCCATGACAGTTAGGGAGGCTGAGCAATCACTTTGGGTCAAAAAAATACTAGAGACAGAAAACACAAGAGAATAAAACTTTAGGAAATAATTTAATGGCAGAATAGAAAGGATAACCCTATTAGAAATCATTAGCACGAATTCCAATACAAATACAGTGTAAGTTTCTTAGATGTAGAGCTCCTCTATTTAGGGTTCTTGGTGGCCCAAATCTTTCATTCTGCAAGTGGGGAAACTGAGGCCAGAGAGGTGACTTTGCTAAAGTTACATGAGTAGGAAGGACCAGAGCTAGGACTTCAACCCAGGTCCTCTGACTCCAAACCTAGGGCTCTTTCTGAAAGTATCACACTTAAGTATGTATGCAATATAAACAAACATTCACATGCTTAGACATCATAGATCTGATTATTATGACAACCAGAGTTTGTGGCCAGGTATGATCTCACAGCATCTTCCTCACACCTACGCAGAGGGAGAGCTAAAATTACTTTGACTTCAAGTAATCTTAAGAATTAAATTTTACCATTTTTTTTTTTACCACCACTATGCAATGAAAACATGCAACAGTGCATTGCTGAATTGTCTTTTCATGATTGGAAGTGAAAAAAGTGTCATACAGAGCTTCAAGTACTCAATTCATACCTATAAATGAATAATCACGTGGCTAGAAATATAAGGGAAGTGGTAAGGGTGTCCCAATGAATCAACAAAGCTGAAACACTGGAGTTTCCCTTTGAAGTTGCCCTTGGTATTAGTGGGAAGAGGGAAAACAACATAATAAGAAGGAAAACAATGCATGATTACCAAGATACTTTACAAACTGGAAATGAATCAAGAGTAGACTCCTTCTAAATTCATTAGAAAAAAGAATAGCTAGGCTAAGATCAACTACCAATAACTTCTTGGATGATTGAAGCCATTCCAAGGGAAGTATGAGGAGAAATAAACAATACCCATTCACATAAATCAACCATATTCTTGCAATAAACAATCGCTTCAGTTTCTATTGCTATATTAATGATGAAAAGAAAATCATGTCCCTGTAGTTTCCAGACCACTCTCCCTCCTAAATTAAAGAAATTTTCTGTGGTAGAAAACAAATCAATAGAAAACCAGGACCCCGTACAACTCGGATTTATCCAAATGGCCTTGTAATTTCCAGCAAAATCAAAGGCCTTTTTCTCTGCCCCATTCCCTGGGGATCTAATTGCTGAGCAGATCACAGCACTTTGTCATAATGGGTACAATAGCACTGGGTACATAGTCAGCACTCAATAAATATATGATTGATTGACCTTGGATAACCAATTGGCAGAAAAAGAGAAAAGCAAGTCAGAAATGGCCAACCAATACATTTACTTTTTTTTTTCCTCCACCAAGAACATGATGTTGAGGGTGCAAGGAGAAAATATTTTGATTTCTAGGTAGAGTACAATGGCTCGGTTGGCTTGTTTTCCCTTCTAGTACCAAGCAATATTTATTGAGCTAGAAAAAAAAAAAGGCAAGAGAGAGGACAGCAATAATAATTTACATTGATGGTCCCAGTTATCTGTGGATGGTGAAGAGGAAACTGAAGCTAAGTTAGGTAAAATGATTTGTCCCTAGAACTACTAAATTTCAGAGCTGGGGCTTCAAAGCAAGCCCTTTGGTTATTAGGCCAAAGTTCTTTCCAATGTATCATGAAGGCCCTCTGGCATAAAGAAGTAGCTACGTAGTCACATGTGATGGTAGAGAGAAAGTGTAGCAACAAGATCCCAACTCTTTCGCTTTTATTCCTTTTGTGATATATTGGCCAAGCCATTTCACCCTTCTAGGCTTCAATTTCCTTATAGGTAAAACATAGAAGTTGGAGGAGATGACCTTAAGTTCTCTCCTAAATGATTCTAGAGCCTGTGGCAGATTAACTCAATTGGTTAGAAGAAGGTGCTAATGAGGCCACAATTGTGGGGTCAGTTCTCAAGTGTGTTCTAATCCAAGGCCATGGATGTTTCAGGATGCTTACAAACATGCCACCAGTTCTAAGGGGCACTGGACAAGAATGTGAAGGGTCAAATCCATCATCATAATTAAAAACAGAAACAAAACACTCAGGATATGCTCCATTGTTGGGAGTCAGGAGGAGGGCAGTCAGTGGCATCTTCTCTGTAAATAAAGGACAGCATTACTGTCATCAGGCCTCCAATAAAGTCACATGAAAGCTTCCAGCTGTAAGGAGTTTGCAGCTCCTTTCAAATTCCATTGGCATACATTGCTTGGCCTTTTCCTTAGAGTATAAAGGTGAAAGCTAGATGAAGGAGGTGCTTATAGTTTCCTTTATGGGTGTCACGGACCTCCTTTTACCTAAACCATTCTGAGAGACACTAGCTACCCAGAATTCCTTCCTATTTTCAAAGAGAAGCCTGCATTGTGAGCTTCACTTACAGCTTCTGCACAAATTCTACTGTACAGAGAATTTCTGGGATTCAGAATATCTGAGAAACAAGGATAGAATAAATTAATCTCTCTGTGACTAACAGAGGGATAAAATACCTTAAAAAGATGGGTGCACATCTTATTCAGAATATTTAGCCCCTAGATTGCCAAATAATTGTGAATGCACATAGGCCAAATACTTAGCATCACATGTATTTTAACCTCTGCTGTTATATAATTTGATAAAGAACTTAGACTTGGTGCTGTAAGGGACCTTGGAGACTCTTGATTCCAATCTTCTCATTTTATACTTAAGGCAAGGCACAGAGAAATTAAGCGACCTGCTCAGAGTCACACAGCTAATAAGTGGAACATCTGAAGTACGATTTCAAACTCTAAGTCCAGTGCCTTATGTCTATACCACACAGCCTTAAGAATGGCCACTTTTACCATGGAAATGATCATGCCAAAATGTAGGGTTACTATATTTAGAACTAGGAATGACTTTAGAGTTTATCTCCTCCAGCAATTCCCAAAGTGTGGTTGAAGGACACCCTGGGTTCCCCAAGATGCTTTCAGAGGGTCTGTGAGGTCAAAACTATTTTCATAGTAATACTATGATGTTTTAATTTCTAATAAATGCTGATAGCTATAACCCATATAAGCAAAAAATCTTTGGAGAAGTCCTCAGTAATTTTTAAGTGTATAAAGGGGTCCTGAGACCAAAACACTGATCTGCTCCAATCTTCTCATTTTTATAGAAGAAATCTGAATTAAAGCAGCCAAGTGATACAAGTCAGACCTTCTCCACCCCTACCCCCACTTCCCCTGTTGCTTCATAAAGTATTCATATGGAAATAGTTTAATGAAAACACATTGAGATTGGTTTAACCAAATCTAACTTTTTGTACAGTTTACCTGAACCGTCAGGAACGAACAGGCAGAATAAATCAATCTGGGCTTATTTTCTATAGCTCAAAATATGGCATTGTTCTCATCTTTACACAGTCTCCTAGCACTGTTTAAAGTTAGGAAAGAGTACAGTCAGGCCCCTGGCTAGCAATGTAATCTTGGATAAGTCACACTCCCTACACCTCACTCACTCATCCATGAAACCAGAATTAATGATTCATCTGCCTGAAGGTAGAGAGCTGACTGATGTGAGGTTTCTTACAGCTCTGAGATCTACGGCTATCTGATTTTATGATCATCAGTCAAAATATTCCAAGTTCTCCTACTTTTATTCCCTCACGGCTTACCCTTCTGTGGCTGGCCAGTTCTGGAATGGCTCTTCTTTCAGATGCTAGAGATTAAAAATCCCTAAGAGTGCTAAAGACCACAAGATCTTCAATGAGTCAAGATACCAGAGCATTTGTCCACGAGGTAAATGTTAACCTTCATCTCTCCAGGCACATTCCAAGCCCAGTAGGGTAATTGTATTCTAGCTCCCTGAAAATGCTTCCAAATGACATTACCCCTACAACTTATTCTTAATGCTGCTTCCATATATCTATGAGATGATGAATCAGTAGGTGGTATATTCCGCTCTAGGGAGGGACAAGTGAGTTTTTTGGGGATGGGGAATTGAAGAGATGTGTTGTATTTATCCAGCTACAGGCTATAATTCCCACCCCTACCCCACCCCCTGTCAAATCTGACTTATAAATCCTGAGTACTGTCTATAATTGTATTCTTAGTAAGAGAACAATGAAAGTGATAAGACAAAGAATAATGATAATAAAAATGGATAAGACATCTTTATTTGAACTGAAAGCAATGTTTAAAAATTTTACAGCAATCTATGAGGCAGATGGGTGGTAAAGTGGTTAGAGCACTGGGTCTGGAGTCAGAAAGACCAGCGTTCAAACCTGGCCTTAGACATTTACTAGCTATGTAATTCTGGGCAAGTTACTTAACCTCTATTTGCCTCAGTTTCCTCAGTTGTTAAATGGGGATAATAATAGCACCTACCTCACAGAGTTGTTGTGAGGCCCAAATAAGCTAATATTTGTAAAGCACTTAGCACAGTGCCTGGCACACAGTAGGTACTATATAAATATTATTTTAATTATTATCACTTAACTTCTGTCTGCTTTGGTTTCCTCAACTGTAAGATGGAAATACTAACAGCACCTACCACTCAAGGTTGTTGTGAAGATCAAATGAATTAATATTTGTAAAATGATTGGCTTAGTGCCTGGCACATAGTACGAGGATCAGCAACTCATGTGTAATTTAGAGAATTAGGAAATAGCCAGGGGCATTGAGAGGGTCACTGACTTGCCCAAGATGATAATAAAGTGGTGCCAGAACTGGGTCTAATCACTCCAATCTGCTGACCAAATATTGTGAATCAAAAAGCTACCTAATAAAAAATTTTAGGTGATATATCTCATGTAATTTTAGTGAATCCCATGGGCACATGGGTAGGAGCATAGATTTAGAGATGGAAGAGATTTGAGAGATCACGTCATTTTACATGAGGAGAAAATGGAGGCCCAGGGAATGGCTTAGGATTTAATGCTGTAAGGGACCTTACTGACCAGCTAGTCCATCCCCTTCATTTTTCAGGTGATAAACAAGGTCCAGAGAGTTTATGTAATTTGCCCTGTGCTACAGAGTTAAGTAAAAAAGGCAGAATTCAAATCCAGGTACCTTTTTCAGTATAACAAGCTTCCTAAGGTGAGCAGGCAAGTAAGTGGCTGCTCCAGAATATGGGTTACAGATAAAGGCGATTGTACTGAGTGAGGCCTATAGTTTGCTGAACACTTAGTGCACTCTATCTCAAGACTAATCTGGACAAATGGTAGTATGACTTCAGTCACTATTGTCTGTATGGTAACTAAAACAATTTTCAATTTTTGTGACCCTATTTGGGGTTTTCTTGGCAAAGATACTGGAGTGGTTTGTCATTTTCCTTCTCCAGCTCATTTTACAGATGAGGAAACTGAGGCAAACAGGGTAAAGTGACTTCCCTAGGGTCACGCAGTAAGCATCTGCAGTCAGATTTGAACTAATGAAGAGAAGTCTTCATGACTCCAGGTCTTGCATTTAATCCATTGCACCACCTAGTAACTTAAAGGGACAGCTGACTTAATTTGACTGCTTTTAGAAATAGCAAGTCTAGCATGAACCAGCACAAAAATGAAGTTTGTCATGTTTCCTTCTCATTTCCAGGGAAAGAAACGTGTCACTAGTCACTAGAGTATGACACAGAAGAGGAGAGAAAATAATGGTAAATAAAGGATAACCCGAAAAGCCTGGTACTTACCCTTTGAAGTTTGCCTGGGAGGTTTTAAAGTGCCTTTGTTAACTTGGCAGAAATCCTAGCAAATCTGCATGAACAGATGAGATGAACTGGACCTGGAAAAGATAAGTACATTTAGCTTTCCCCAAACAGAACTTAATATTTTTGCATATACCAATGACATTTCATATCAAAAAGTTAGGCTGTAATAACAGCAACTCCCATTTATATGGTACTGTACAGTTTACAAAGCATTTTCTTTACAACGATAAGAGTAGTATGTAACATTGTTATAAAAAATTAGCTCAATTTAAGCCCAGGGGAATATGATAGCCCCTAAAGTCCCTTCTCTGTGAATTGATGGAATTTGTTTTTGACAAAAAGTTACTAATATGATCACAATTGCTCTGGCTTTGGTTCTTTGCCTTAACTTACATTTATATATTTTTTAAAACTAAGTTTTTATTAGTGTCTTCTTTTATATAGATATATAGATATATATAGATATATAGATATATATATAATCCATTTTCCCTAGGATCCCTTTCCTTCACTCTTCCAGAGAGTCATGCCATAGAACAAATAATATTTTTAAAGACAAGACAGAGAGACAGAGACACACACACACACACACACACACACACAGAGACAGAGAGAGAGAGAATGAGCCAACTAATCAATACACTGAAAAAAAAATCCCCAAACACATGCAGTATGTGATACCTGTGGACCTCCCACCTCCCAAAGGGGTGGATTTGGGGATGCATGTCATATCTTTTCATTCTAATCATGCTAGATCTTTATTGTTATTCAGTTTTGATTTTTTATGTGTGGTTGTTGTTTCCATTTACATTGTTGTCATTAGTGTGTACATTGTTTTCTTGGCTTTGCTTATTTCATCCGCATCAGTTCATATAAATTGTTCTATGCTTCTCTGTATTCATCACATATGTAATTTCTTACAGCACAATAATATTCCCATTACATTCATGTACCACAATTTGTTTATCCATTCCCCAATCAAGGGGCATCTACTTTGTTTCCAATTCTTTGCTATCACAAAAAGTGCTGTTATAACTATTCTGGCGTACAACATATGAGAGCTTCCCTGCTTTCGGTGGTTTTCTTGGAGAGCAAACGACTCCATTAAGTTACTCTAGTAAAGGAGTATCTGATTCAAAAGGTATGGACGTTCTAGGCACTTTATTTGCATAATTCCAAAACGGCCATACCATTTCACAGTTCTACCAATTATGTAGCAGTGCATCTACAATTCTACAACTCTTCAACATAAGACAATTGCCATTTTTGTCACCTTTGCCAATTTGCGGGGTGTGAGAGGAAACCTCAGTGTTGTTTTGATTGACATTTCTCTTATTATTAGTAACTTGGAGCACTCTTTCATGGGATTGTAAACATTTTACAATACTTCTTTTGAGAACTGTTCACATTCTTTGATCATTTCTTTATTGGGGAATGACTATCAGTTTTATATATGTACATGGACATACAATGTCCATATACATATATATATACATATACATACACAGATCCATGCACACAGATGTATGGATGTGTATGTATGTAATAATTGTTTATAGATCTTGCATACCAAACTCTTGTCTGACAAGTTTCACAGAAAGATTCCCCCCCTCCCATTTGACTGCTTCCTGTCTTATCCTAGATGCATTAATTTTATCCCAGGAGAAGCTTTTCAGTTTCATGTAATAAGTTATCTATTTTATCTTTTATCATTGTCTCTATGTTCTGTTTAGTTAAGAACACATCTCCTACCCGTAACTGTGAGAGGCATATAACTTACACTTACATCTGCGTCTATGTCTAGCTTCTTTGTGATTGAGGCAAGATTTGGGTTCCTGGAAATAATAAAGCAGCAGGTTATATTGGTGTCTATGGATAGGCAGGCACTGAGAGAGGAAGCTGGGGCAAGGACAGACCTTTGCCATAGAACTTCCCTCAGTCCTGGAATAGGTGGCTGTTATCAGGCAGGTGGTATGGTATCAGTGGGAGCCTTCGGCTTAGAGATGCCTGCAGGGCCAATGGTCAGCCTCATTATCTCCCTGGTCCAGAATAGCTCAGCCCTACCTTCTCTTCCTCCTTTCCTCCCTTGCCTTAGGGCTGCCAGTTCTTTCTGACACAATTCTTCACTGACCTCACTCCTTCGTCTTTAGCCCAGCAGAAATCTCTGGGGTTTTTTTTTAAATATACAATTTCCCCAGGGCTAGCCCAAGTCTCACACAAATCAAAGGTTTTGATTGATTCAAGGAAGTAGGCAGGTCCAGCGCACAGGCAATTCTGACTGATTCAATAAAGCAATGTTCGGACAAGCAATGGAGCCCCACCCCTGCAAATGATTCATCATAAGAAGACTTGAATGAGTCCACGCTCTTCTGTTATAACCTTGTACAAGTTACTCCGGGAAGCTAGATTTCCTTATCAGTAAAATGGGGATTGGGCAGTAGAACTCCCTGGAGTCAGGAAGGCTGATGTTCCTGAATTCAAATCAGGCGTCAGATACTTACTAGCCAGCTGTGTGACCTTGGGCAAGCCACTTCACCCTGTTTGCCTCAGTTTCCTCATCTGTAAAATGAGCTAGAGAAGGAAATGGCAAACCGCTCCAGTATCTTTGCCAAGAAAATCTCCAAAGCGGTTACAATCAGACACAACTGAAATGACTGAACAAAAACAACAAAATGGGGATAAGGACATTTTCACTAGCCACTTCACATGCTCAGTCCTTTGAGAAATAGAAAGCTCTTAGGCAGAGAAGGGTAGATTTCACGGTGAATGGTCTCAATTTTCTCACTGAAGTAAAAAGTGAGACCATAAACTCAAAGCACTGATTCAATTAAGTTGTTCTTTAGACGTGTCCGACTCTCCATGATCTTATTTGGGGTTTTCTTGGCAGACATACTAGAGAGGTTTGCCATTTCCTTTTCCAGCTTATTTTACAGATGAGGAAACTGAGGCAAACAGTGTGAAGTGGCTTTCCCAGGGTTACATAGCTACTATGTGTCTGAGCCTAAATTTGAATTCAGGAAGATGAGTCTTCCTGTCTCCAAGCTTGATGCTTTATCCACTTCGCCACCTCAATGCCCAGAATAATGAGGGAAAAGGGTCCTCAAAACCTGAAGAGTGGAGAAAATAATAAAGGACTATCCCTCACTTAATAGATGAGGAAACTGAGGCTCAGAAAGTTGAAGTGCTTTGTGCAGGGTCACAGAGCAGGTTAATCGTTCAGTCATCAAGCATTTATTAGGCATCTACTATGAATTAATCACCGTAGCAATGATTGTTACCCAATCCAAAGAGCATAGGGACTGGACTCATAATTTCATCGATACCAGGAACTCTTTGAACTAATGTAGGTCAGCACCTTCTCTGAATCTTGGGAAGCAGCCTAGAGCAGAGGTTTAAGACATGCAGCTGAGGGCCAGATTTGGAGCAGTAAGTACCCTCCAGTGCGGCCCAACCAGATTAAAATGTAACTGGGAAATATTTAATTTAATTAATTTAAATAATTAATGAATGTATTATTATTTATTATAATAAATTAATAAGTTAATTATTTAAAATCAATAAAAATACAATAAAACATAAATAAAATTACATTTTAAAACTAAGTCAAAGTGGGGCCTGTATATGGGATTCTTATGTCTGGATTAGTGCCCTTTCTCTTGAGTATGACCCCACTGGCCTAGAGCACTGAGAAGTTAAAGCACTTATCCAGGATCACATAGCTAGTCAGTCAATACTCACCTATGAAGCACCTACTATGTGTCAGGCATTGTACTGAGTGCTGGGGATAGAAAGGCAAAAGACAATATCTGTTCTCAAAGAGTTTACCATCTAATGAAAAAGACAGTATAAAAGCAACTGAGTCCAAACAAGTTATCTACAGGATAAAGTGGAGATAATCAACAGAAGGAAGGCAGTAGCATGAAGCCGGTTTGTGTCAGCGGCAGCACTTGAACGTAGGTCTTCCTGGCTGTTTGAGGAAGGAGACTGTTTACTTTTTATCTTTGTGTCCTCAGTGCCTGGCACATAGTAGGTGCTTAATAAATGACTGTTAATTGGTTCCTCCCTTTCTCTCGATACAAGCCATACTTTGGCTCATTAAGTTTAAAGGGGCTTACAACTGAAAACTGGGCAGCTAAGTGGCACCATAGCGCATGGAGTGCCAGGCCTGGAGTCAGGAAGACTCATCTTCATGAGTTCAAATCTGACCCCAGACACTTGCTAGCTATGTGACCCTGGGCGAGTCATTTTACCCTAATTTCCTCACTTTCCTCATCTGTAAAATGAACTAGAGAAGGAAATTGCAAATTAGTACAGTATCTCTGCCAGGAAAACCCCAAATGGGGTCATGAAGAGTTGGACGTGACTGAACAAGAATCGAAAATTTTAGATTTTTTTGTTTTAGCAGTTAAAAATGATCACTCCGTTTTAGATTATCAATAGATTTGCGAATTGAGCCACTTGTCTGGTGAGCGGCTCTCACGTAGAGGTGCAAAGATCTGCAACTTCATGAGGCACAGATATGTTCTCTGACGATTTCTGCCTCCATTGGAGGCTCTTCATTAGTTCCCATGGCCAATGTGCCATTCATGAATCTTAGCCACCTGAGGCTCCCTGGGTATGTTTAGACTCAGTTACCTTTTGGACCCCTACAAATACTACCTCCTGTAATGCTTACTGTGATGACCCCAGCAGCGTCAGCCGAGGGCTAGTAATGTCAGGGTCTGGAAAAATGGAAGTTTCCACTTTGGTTAAGCTGGACAGGTTTCTAGTAGAAGTCAGTGATTTTGTATTCTTGGTCTGACAACCAAAGTTCATAGGATCTTAGATCTTGATCTGAAAAGGCCCTCAGAAGCCAGTTAGTCCAACCCCCTTGTATTACAAATGAGGAAACTGAGGCCCAGGGACAGGCAATAGCTGGCAAAACTCACACAGGTAGTCAATTGACAAGTTGATAGATCTAATGCCTAGGGGGGACATTGGAGAGCATTCAGTCCAACACCCTCATTTTACAGATAAGGAACATAGAAACAGAATGGTTGAGTTATTTGCTAGAGGTCACACAGGGAGTATCTGAAGCGGTGGGATTTGAACTCAGGTTCTTGAATTCCACTCATCACCAAAATTCAGAAGGATGCTGAAATTTGTAGCCACACAAAGTTGAAGTGATCAGTGCTACTTTGTGAAAGAAGTACCCCATGTCAATGACCTATGAAACCAGGGCTCCTTTTAGTACTTTAGAAAATAATACTTAGCTCAAACAGGTTCTGTGAGATTAAAAGCTTGTAAAGCACCCTGAGATCCCTAGATTGAATGCTTTAAGATGAAATGACTATCATTAGAAGTATTATTGTTGTGATACCAGATATTGGTTGGGTATTCCAGCAAAGAAGATGGCTTTTTAAAAAGATGGTTATCAGACATGGTGGTTCCCTTCCAACAATCCAAAGAGATAATGCTACAATTATTAACATAACGGGCACTATTTTTGCCCGTTGCCAAGGGGGCCACCCAGAGCCTGAGCTAGGCACCCAGGCTGAGCCAGCCCTTGCCTGGCAAACCAACCCCCTCTTCCCAAACCAGCAACAGAACGCACCCTCCTCTGCAGATCAGGGAGGGAACATGCAGCTGCAGGGCTTGGGCCCTCCAGCTAGCCCCCTCCTGGGCAGGCAGGCACACAGGGAGGTAGAACGGGGGGTGGGCCATCCTGACCAACTCAGCGTCAGCTCCAGCTCCCCCCTCACCCCCACCCCAGGGGCTGATAATGCCCTCCTCCCTCCCCCGCTTCCCCAGGGAGCTGGCTCAGGGCGACCCTCCCCCCACGTCCTGCTGCATGCAGAGGAAACGCACAGAAGCCCGGGGGAGAAACTGAGGCCGCATTCACAGAGCCCCAGCACTCCCTAGTGTCCCCGTCCCCCAAACTCCCACCCTGGCCACTGCTGCTGAGTTAAGAGAAGGGGTTAAAACAACTTACTCCAAAAGATGCGGGGTGTTAGAATGTCTCTACCTCTAACCTGCAGGCCTCCCACGGCCTGTGCCTGGAGTGGCCCAAGGAGGAGAGAGCTTCCCGGACAGTGGCAGCGGCTGGTCCTGCTCCTGCTCCCGCTGCCGCTGCCGCTGCCGCTCCCGCTGGGCTCCAGCCGTTTCAGGAAGTGCTGCTCCCACCAGCTGGAGGGCCTGGAGGCTTTTGGGGAGGGTAGTCAGGCTCTTCCCCGGGTGTGGAATTACTGGCGCTCTGGGGACTAC